CAGTAGGTGCTCTGTACTGCCATAGACAGCACTTCACCACTTTCATGTGGCCTTGACCAGCGAGAAAGGAAGGGTCAACACACAAGGACAACCAGCACACCATCTTCTAGGGAAGACTCAGGGCTGCACATGGACCGGAAGAGAGAGCATAGGGGACTTGAAGGCCCAGGCTACAGCTGTGACAGCAGTGCCGAGCAGGCTCCTTCCGTGTGCCAAAGCAAGTATCATTTCCCTCTCCTGGGTCTTCTCCAGAGTGGTCCTTGGTAGCCATCATTCTCCATGGATCTCTGCCCACACTCACTCCCCTCACTAGCTGTAGGCAGGCTTGGCCCCCCTCTGAGCACTGAACCCTGGTAGCTTCCTTCACTGGTGAGGGTGAAGCCTGGCTCTTTGTCATCTGTGAGATGGTTTTGGGGAGCACTTCAGGCTTGACAAGTTGCCCTTGGGAAACTGCTCGCAAGCACACTCATCTACTTGCCTCTCTGCGCACATCCTGGGGTTGTCTTTCATTTAGCCGTCTCATGTAGCAATTCCTTACCGTAGTGTCCATTTCTAGCCTGACTTGAAAGTGCTCAGTGCTGAACCGGCTAGATGAGTTGGAGGAGGAACAAAGGTTGGGGAAGTGAGGCAGGCTGGAGTACACACGAACCCTCTGGCCACTGTGGTGATCCCCAAAACATGCAGTCCTGAGGGTCAGCAGGGCAGGCTCCTCCTAAGCCTGAAGAGAGTCCATTCCTACCTCTTCCTCATCTTGAGAAAGCCACACTCCCTGTGTTGGCTCATTCAGCATCAAGCCAGCAATGTGTCTTCCCCAGACCTCACTTCTGTTGTCATAGCCACTCTGATTCTGAGCCTCCTGTTACCTTATTTCAGAGCTTCCCTGGCTCTGTTGGGTTTACCCATATAACCTAGGACCATTTCTCACTTCAAGATCCTCAACTGAGTCTGGGGGATGGCATGGTTAGTGAAGTCCTCCCTGTATATGCTCGAAGACACGGGCTCAGTCCCCAGGACCCACTATCCTGGTGCCTCGTACCCCTAGTGCTATGGTCCAGGCAGAAGCAGTTGGGCCGCATGGGCTCTCTGGCCAGCCAACCTAGCTTACTTGATGACTCCAAGCCAGTGAGAGACCCTGTCTCAAAAACAACTACAAAATGGTGGCTGGCACCCGAGGAAGAATATCTGAGGTTGTTCCCCATCTTCTCCATACCCAAGCATATGCACGCTCACTCATGCATGCACATACAAACAAACATACATAGACACATGCATACACAGAGATCCTCTACTAAGTCACACCTAGAAGAACCCGCTGCCCCGTGACTTTACCTTTCCCTGGGACTGGATACGAGCATGATTGTGTCAATCCCGCCACACCCTGGGAACGAGGGACACCGTGTGGGTGGGAATGCCAATCACGTGTCCCTCTGGTACTCTCCTAGGCTTGGTGTTAGGCAGCATAGTTGTAACAGGGAAATCCTTGGGGACAGGCTTCACCTCTTCAGATTGGCAGATTTGGGTCAGCAGTGGAGAAAGATTCCTGTGGAGCTGGGGGTCTCTGAGAGGACTAAGCTGTTGACCTCCATGTGCCGTGCAGCCTCAAAAAGAGGCAGGGGAGTTTGTGAAAGGTGTGCCTGTGTGCACCTGCATGCATGCGTGCACGCATGTTTGCATTCGTGCGTGTGTCTCAGGGCTGCCTGCCCCTTCCCCCTCTTGTTGCTCAGCACACTCAGAAGAGCTGGGACCTGAGGGAGACGTCAAGGGTGCAGGTCAGGTTCCCATTACGGTCGGGCACCACACATAGGCCTTGACTCCTGGCCCTGCAGGGAGTGGGATGCTCCTGAATGCTGCCATGGCTTCCATCACAGCTGGAATGGGCCCCATTGGTCCTGCTAACCCTTTTGTGACTACTGTTCCTGGTGCCAGACATCTCGAAGCATAGATGTACCGTGGGTTCATCATGCTTCCTCCTGAGCTTTGTCCCTGGGAGGACATGCCCCTCTGACTTTCAGTGCTTGGATTGAGGGAGTAGCAGCCAGCTCCCCAAGGGAGGCATGCTGCCTGTCACAGCTTGATGTTGATCTGCCACCAGGAAGCCCCTAGGAGCTCAACTTCAGGCCGGGGGGGGGGGGGGGGAGGGGTGTGGTCCTGTGGCTCTGCTGCAGAGCTGCCTGCCTGACTCATCTGTACCAGGTCTCCAGGCCAGCCTCCATGCCCCACTCCAGTAGCTGCACTGCTGGTTATCACCACCCACGGTCAGGACGTAGCCGCAGCGGGCCTCACGTGGCAGAGCCAATGGGGGATTACAGCTCCCGAAGGCCTCCAGCATCAGAGAAATTCGGAAAGGCAAGGGGCTTATTAAAACGCTGAAATTGGTTCTAAATGAGGTCAGCCGTTGTCGCCCATGAGCCTTGGAATGAAGCCAGGCACTTAGCAGTACACTGAGCCTATTTCCTGACTTTGTGACAGTGACGTCCTGGGCACCACCCCCAGCCCACCCCCACCCTGGGAGGGCAGCTGACACAGTCAAACCCTAGCAGAGTCATCAGGGTGGGGATGCAGGCGAGAGTAGGAGAGGCATGCAGCACCCCCTCCCCCAGCGCTGGACCTCCCAGACACTGCAAGGAGGTGTGTCCAGCCAGCTCAGTGTCTATAGGCGGTCAGAGCACTTAGGACACAAACAGGACAGCTGGACACTGCTCCCTCTCCAGGGTCAGATCACTCTTCTTCAAGATTAATAAAAGGAGGGGTAAATAGTACAATAATAAGTAAACTTAATAATTAAACAATAATAAATAAACTTTAAAAACCAACATTGAAATATAGGGGCTGGATGGCTCAGTCAGTAAAATGCTTGCCTCACAAGCACGAGGACCTGAGTTCAAATCCCAGCATCCATGTTAAAATGCCACGCCTGGATGTGGCGCATACTTTTAATTCCAGCACACAGGAGGCAGAGGCAAAGCAGATAGATCTTTATGAGTTCATGGCCAGTCTGGTCTACATAGTGCCAACCTGTCTCAAAAACACATACATACATACATACATACATACATACATACATACATACATACATACATACATACATACATACGGAGGAAGAGTAGCCATGTCTCAACCTCTGGTTTTTCTCTCAGGATGTAGTTCTGGTCAGCACATCCTCATGACTCCTGTGGGATTTTTCTGACCTTGGCAACCTGTAAGAGAACCCACTTTGTGATTCATGAATGCTGTCCTGTCCTGCTCTCCCTACTCTGCCCTTGCCTTCCCTGCCCCACCCCTGATGGCTGAGTGACCCCGGGTACCCATCTTCCCCTTGTGTGTCAGATGGGGACAACCACAGGCTGGTTTCTCACAGCCAGCAAAGCAGGCAGCCTGCTTCCCTCTCCCACTAACTACCAGGACTGGGTAATTGTTACTTCTGAAGTTGGCTGAATCACTTCTGCCAGCATTCAGCCTTGTTTGGAGCTGCAGAACTTGAGCACTCTTTTAATCTGTTAAAAATAAATGTGTGTGTGTGTGTGTGTGTGTGTGTGTGTGTGTGTGTCACTCTGCTGTTTACTAAGACTCGTGCTTCTCCTCTGAGAACCAAGCACAACTGTTGCTCTCACCCTGGATCCAGGAAAGGCCCTCAACCTGCTGCAGTCAGGCCCCTGCCCAGCACTCCTGCCCTTCCTAAGAGCCTGGGCATGGGGAGGTCCAGGGGCCTCATGGCCCCAGCTGGCCCCAAGGGCTCACTGACAGCCAGGCGGTAACTAGCTAAGTTACACCTCACCTCAAAGCTGTGACTCCTGTACTGGCTTGTGCAGAACAACGTGATAAGTAGCCCAGGTCATTCTGCCTGTCCACTTCCCAGGGCAAGGCTGGACAATCTGGAAACTTCACCTTTGTGCAGAACTGAGCTGAACAGAGCTCAGCGCAGAATCAGCCTTGCTGCCAGAGGCTGGGCAAGGCTACTGTGTTTCTGAGAGAAGCAGGAGAAAAAAGAGGGGGAGAAGAAAAGCGGGAAGGACACACAAGTCAGTTGGAGGGACATGTAACCACAGTCAGGTGCAGAGGTGGATGGCTCTGGATACAAGCAGGAGGCCAAGTAGAATTGGCCAGGGGCTGGGGTGTGGAGTAACTACTTCTCATCAGGAGAGGGACAGGACCGAGCAATGGGAAGGTTGACACTTCCAATTGGTGGTCAGCCTGTGCAGAGGCCCTGTAGTAGGTATACGAGAAAGTGCTGGGGCCAGCTGACCTGAGAAGCAAGAGGAGGCCCTGGGGTTGAGAGCTTTGGTGAGAGAGGAACAGGTGCGCCCCACCCTCCTTTTCCCCAAGGACTATCCCCACAGCCATGCTGAGTACCCATTTCTCCATTCACCTCCCTTTCTGCCTGCCCTGTGCTGTCTTCCCCAGTGACGCCCTGCGCCAATCAGTACCCCAGCTATGCACCCACTCCTGTAGCAGCCGTGGTGCCAGCTGGAGCCCGTGGGGAAACAGGAGAAAAAGTGGGAACAGCAGGCCTTGGAGAGGGTGTCTAAACATGGACTATTTGGGGACTGTCTTTTATTTTTAGTTTGAAAGCCGTCCACCCTTCAGTATTGTAAAAACAGGAGCCAGGAGCCCATCACTCACTGCTGCTTGGGAAAGAACCCTTGGACCTTGGCTGGAACATGTGGAGAGGGCATGGCACCTGCCTCCTCTGAGGTGGTCGGCAGGGCCTGGCTGGAGTGTTCTTAGGACCTGTGGCTGAAGAGAGTAGCTGCTTCCAACAGGCACAGAGATTTGTTGGAGGACATCAGCCTTCCTGCTTTGATTCTCTTGATGATGTCCATGTGTCATTAATGCCAATTAGGGGAGGATGGAAGCAAAGCGTTTGCCCCAGGGCACTGACTTGTGGGAGGGCCACCAGGACAATTGAATTCCCCACCAGACAAATGTGATTAGGTGCAGCCTGGCCCATCCCTGCTGGACAGGCATAAATGGCCCAGTGAGGCCGGGTTGCTCATCCCACCATGCAGGCTCACCATCGTTGCTGGCGCAGCCTCCCCAGCCCCAATGTTCGGGAGGCGGCTTCCATGTATGGTACTGCTGTGGCCATCTTCCTGGTCATCCTGGTGGCTGCACTGCAGGGCTCAGAGCCTCCGGAGAGCCCCTTTCCCTACCGCATCCCCCTGGACCCCAAGGGGACCCTGCAGCTCTCGTGGAACGTTAGCTATGTGCAGGAAGTCATCCACTTCCAGCTCCAGGTGCATGGGCTGACGGCTGGGGTCTTGTTTGGAATGTCGGATCGAGGCGAGATGGAGAATGCAGACATCGTCATGCTCTGGACTGATGGGGACAGAGCCTACTTGGCGGTGAGTCGTCTCCCACCTTGCTATCCTGTCCTCACACCCACACCCCCTAGCTGACTATCTTCTTAGAGCTATGCTCCACAATCAGCAAAGGAAGTTTACCTACTACTTCTGTGTTTGATGTCACTGATCTGAATTAAGCCTGTGTTCACTCTTCAGTCTCATAGGGACACTCACTAGATGACGAAATGGTAAGTGGGTTCTTCCTGGAGTCCTTGACTGCACCCACAAATAATGGTTGCAGCAATCCAAGGAGGATAAGCACAAATGGAGGGCCCACATGCCATGTAGCACCCTTGCTGTGTGAGCACAGACCCTGCATCTCACCCAGTTTTACAAATAACAACTCCATGCTACGCTAGCAGCACACGCACACCTGTTGTGAGCCAGGTGGTGGCACGCAGCTCAGTAGAGCAGGCAGCATGCACACCAGCCTGGGACACAGCACACACAGGCCTTCTGTGCTATACTTGACGGTGGTAGGTGCCGATACCACCACAACCCAGACGCAGGCAACCCCACCCTCAGCACATTAGCTGAGCCTAAGCCAACAGAATCCATCTGCTTCCTTCTGTTCAAAACCTACCTGACACCTGCTTGCAAGGATGGCGAAAAGAAAGTCTCCTACATTCTGGAGGGTCCTTCAGGGCTCCCAACAAGCTGCAGGGGTCCATAGAGAGGAGCAAGATCCCCACACAACATCCTCTGGGGCCTCACTCCTCCTCAGTCCTCAGCAGAGGGAATGGACCTTCAGGCCTCTTTGGGATGGAATCTAACTCTACTCCTACAGGGAAAGGATGGTCAAAGATTTTCCTTATCAAACCAGAAGGCACCTTCTTCATAGAAGGCTGGCCTCAAATCTGTGTTAATCCTCCGACCTCAGCTTCCCCAGTGCTGGGGTTAGAGGACTGAGCCGCTAAGCCTTACTGGGAAATGATCTCTTGAGCTGAGGATGGCAGCCACTCTCCATTGTGCTGTGAGGCCAGTCATTTGCTCTCCCTGTCAGGTAGGGTGAGAAAGCAGGGCTGGCTCTGGATTCACAGCCCCAGCTGAGGTGTGTGCAGGACAGAAGAGCCTTACTGGGCCCCAGAAGGCTTGCTGTTCCCCTCCCCTTTCTGGTGAAGCTTTTTCACACTGCAGCTTCCACAGGCAAGGGAGCCTGGAGTTTCACTTTTCCATGCCCTTCCATGTTCATTTGCACAATAAATTCCTTTGAACACCAGTGGCAGAATGGGGCTCTTTGGGCAGCAGTCTGCTCAGGAACACACACTAGATTCCCAGAAGCAATGTCAGCTGCTGGTCTAGTCCTGCTGCAAGTCAGCAAGGTCCACAGCAGGAGCCTCACCATTTTTGCAAACTCCTTGCAGGTTTCTGCTTTCCTCAAGCTGTGATAGCCTTGCAAGTAGGGCTAAATAGAAACAGCCCTACAGTCCTCACAGCAGAGGCCGATGGTGCTCATGAACTCAGAGGGAGGCCCACTAGCTGGATGCCACCCCATAGCTGGCCTCCATACACTGGCTTGGAGCCTTGAAGGGGGAGGCAAGGAGACCAGACCAGTGATCTAGATTCTAGGAACTATGCTGGGGAAATGCTCACTCCAGCAGCCAGTGTGGCCAGGGCAGCCTGCCGGCCCAGGCCTCAGTTTACTCTCTCCAGGCAAGGCTGGCACTAGAGTGAAGTAAGAGATTCCTAAGGTACAGTATTTAAGGCAGCTTTTGCTCTCAATGCTATGCAAGTGTGGGGTACTGGGAGTGCCACCTTAAATGCTGCCTTGCCTCTTCCCACTCTGGCTCTGTCATCATCGGTCTAGGTCCAAGGTTCTAGCCTCAAATTTGTAATCTTGTTTTGCAGTCCTTTCCGAAGGCACAGTATAGTTCTCCAAGTCTCACTCTAAGGCCTAAGAATCTGAACAGGCAACTGTCCCTGGGAGTCTCAGGCACCTGGCTCATGTGTGAGAGGTTGGAAGGAAGCTGGATGGGGTACAACTACAAGCAGGATGGGTGACAGAATGTGATATGGGGGCTAGAAAACTCGGCTCAAGGGACTGATCATTGTGCATACACCGGGCCCTGCGTTTGATCCCAATATTGAATAAGAGTGAGAACAGATAAGATCCATCAAGAGTGAGGCTCAGCAGCTCCCTGGCCCCACTGGGTGTTCCCATGGAGCTGGTGACCCACTAGGGGTAGCGGATCTCTCCTAGAGAAGAGCAACTGCACCCAACCATGAGTGTGGCCTCCTTCCTGCTCAGACCCCGAGCCTCTCTCTGCAGGATGCCTGGAGTGACCAGAAGGGACAGATCCATCTGGATGCACAGCAGGACTACCAGCTGCTTCAGGCACAGAGGACCTCAGATGGCCTAGCCCTGCTCTTCAAGAGGCCCTTTGTCACCTGTGATCCCAAGGATTACCTCATTGAGGTAGGCCGCTCAGTTCAGGAACACAGTTTGCCTGGACTATCCCAGCATCCTACAGTATTCAGCCAAGGCCGCTCCCTTCCTGGGAAGCCTGAACAAGCCTCTCACACACATGAGAGAGCGCCACTAGGCAGGTGGAAGCTGTTTTGAGAAGCTCCAGCTCTGCCAGCAGCGTGACGCTCCCTGCAGACATGTTACCAGTGTTCTTTCTGGATGTGAGTGTTGTTCAGAACCCTCTCTTGCTCTGGGCTGTATACCTATCCTGCTCTCATCAGCCTGTCACATGGAACTCTGCACAAAGCCCAGCATGCCTGGTTTTCTGCCCTGCCCAGCTGCTGCCTTGTGGTGAGGCTCAGGGCCCCTTTCTCCTCCATACCTCAGTCTGCTGTCTATAACATATGGCCAGCAGCTACTGTATTTCCAAAATGGAAGGCTGTTGTGTACTTCACAGCTAAACATAGCTCACAAACACCTTAGCCGCTCCCCAGTTAGGAAGAGCCAGTCTATCTTTCCCTTGATGGAACCCTTGCATTCTTGTTATCTTAGTTAATCTTTCCTGGTGGCACTGACAGGGGTTGGCAGTTTATAGCGCTAGCTGAGGTGTAGAGTGGAGATGCTGGTGCCATGGGAAGAGACTCACCACTCACAGTCCCCAGGGAGGGGTTGCCACAGCATGTGGGAAGCACCAGGCTTAGTCACTAAGTGAAGGTGAGGGCAGAATCCTGCCAATGAGCTTTACTGGGATGACAGGGCAAAGTCTAGGAGGGGCATGGGCGGCAGCAGCCTGGGTAATTCTGACTCTTCAGGCCTTCAGGTGCTGCTCTATGCTTACCAGTCTGGCCCTGAGGCAATTTAGGGCAGGGGAGGTAGTGGCTTGGAGTACAAGGGTTAGACAAAGAGGTGGGTGGTGATTTGGGCTCACCTGGGCTATGGGGTATAGATGTGGGCTATACCCATCCTAAAAGTGAATCTCATGAAAGGGGTAAACAACTCTGGCCATTTGTTTATAATAAAACAAATGGGGAATTGTGGCTAGGGAAGTGGACTAACCCAGGAGCTCATGGCATAAAGAGGCCATTGGGAGTCCCCAGCCTCCTGTAGTCAAGGCAAAAGTAGTCAGAGAACCATAAAGAATATGCCACAGGACAGGCTGATGATGTTTGCATGTTCCGGGGCCACAACTTCTGCATAGAACTTGTAAGATGTCCTCCCCAGAAGCAGTCCAAGGGATTCTTGCCAACCAGAGCACACTGGCTGTCCACCATGAATGCACATCCTGGAACATGGCTGCAGGTATTTCCAGCAATGTATCCACCTGGAGCCACTGGCCTTTGACCATAGCAACTTTTGAGGAAACCCAACCAGCTCCATCTCTGTGGCCTAGCTGAGCCCTCCAGCACAGGAAGGACATACAGACCTTACATGTACAGCTCCTGGAGGTTGGGGAAAACTGCACAACTCACTGTCAAACTCAGGGTTCCCCGGATTGGTTTCTCCACTCCCTAGGTGGTCACTGACTCTTCAGTTGTGAATCAACCAATCAATACCTTTCCCCTGCTCCCGGTGACCTTGGGGTTTGTTCACAGGGGAAGTAAGAGTCCCAGCCTGCCTCATAGGAAGGCCCAGTGATTGGATGCAGAGTATGTGAGAAAAAAAAAAAAAGTGTTTGACAGGTGGAGACAGGATTCCAGAAGCAGCCTCAGGTCAGGCAGAACTTCATGGTCTTGGTGTTTGCTAAGCTGACAGTGAGGAGCTTTACCTGGTAGGGGTGGATGGACGGGGCACATGGCTCCTTTCACTTTCCCTTAAACCTATGCTGGCTCTGACTTCGCAATGAACTGGTTCTGTCTGGGCTGCAGGATGACACGATCCATCTAGTGTATGGAATCCTGGAAGAGCCGTTCCGGTCACTGGAGGCCATCAACACCTCAAGCCTGCACACGGGGCTGCAGCGGGTACAGCTTCTGAAGTCTGAGTTCCCCACTCCAGCCATGCCTGCGAATGTACAAACCATGGAGATCCGGGCCCCTAATGTCCCCATCCCCAACAAAGAGACCACATACTGGTGCTATATCACTGAGCTGCCCCACGGCTTTGCCCGACACCACATCATCATGGTACACGGGGGTCTAGAGTTACTGTGGGTGCATGAATCTGAGGGGTTGGCCTGACTTCTTTAGAAGCCGCACATATGTACTGGTCCCCTGTGAGCCTGCGCACCATCTGCCTCAGGGCTTCTGTATTTCTATCTTACCTGCCTGGACCAAAACAATACTTTTTTTTTTTTCTTTTTTTTTTTTTTTTTTACTTTTACAACTGCCCTTGAGGTTAGAACTGCTGTCAATCTTTCTGGCCACCCACCCTCATGTAAAAGTAGCTCAACTCAGTTATTCCAAAGCTGCAACTAGGGACTTCAGCACAGTGGTGCCCAGAAACAAATACTGTCCCTATTACAAAAGAGGAAGAATAACCAGAAAGGTCATGTGAATGCCCAGAATCACACCGTAAAGAGTAGACAGGTTGTATAGCTGTGTTTGAGTCTCAGACTCTAACCTGGAGGCCATTTTGCCTCCCAGTGGAGCTTCCAAGGGTCCTGAGTCACCTAATACACACAAAGACTGCTGCCTTCCTAGTTCCATCTTATTAGTAATGATCTGTGTAGTTCCCTACTTTTTCCCTGGAGCTCCTCATGGGTTCTAGTACCTCCTGGGGATCACAGCATGATCCCTCCTGGTTTTGTATTGGCAGCCCTGCAGCACTTGAAGTTGCCTTACTTACCCTTCTTCTTTACAGTAGAGCAGCTAAAGACTAGCTGGTCCAGCAGAGTGGGAGGGTTAAGCTGGTACTGGCCTCCCAGCTCAGGGTGGTCTGTTCTTCTGCAGTATGAGGCCGTTATCACTGAGGGTAATGAGGCCCTGGTGCACCACATGGAGGTCTTCCAGTGTGCAGATGAGTATGAGACCATCCCCAAATTCAACGGACCCTGCGACTCCAAGATGAAACCTGACCGACTCGACTACTGTCGCCATGTACTGGCCGCGTGGGCCCTGGGTGCCAAGGTATGCACGTATTGGTATATATTTGTCCTAGTTTGCTTTCTATTGTGATAAATACCAGGGCCAAAATCAACTTAGAGGAGGACCTACTTGGCAAATGTGTCTAGGTTACAGTCAATCGCTGAGGGACACCAAGATAGGAACTCAAGGCAGGCCTGCCTCATTTTCTGTCCCAGGAACTCATAGCCGGGAGAGTCCAGCAGGGATCACGGAGAAGGCTGTTTCCTGGTTGGTTCTCAGGCCATCTTCTACTCGAATAGTGTTCTTACACAGCCCGGGGATGATGCTGCTCGCAGTTGTCTTGGCCCTCCTATATCAGTTAAGAATCAAAATAAACCTCCTAGATCCGCCCACAGGCTAACCCTCCTATACTGAGTAAGAATCAAGATAAACCTCATACATATGCCCACCGGCCAATCTGACGGAGGTAACTCCACAGCTAAGATCACCTCAGATGACTCTAGGCCTTGTCAGCTTGACAGTTTAAGTTACTTAGGACACCATTGCACCATCCCCAGGCGCCCTTTGGCATCCTTGGGATTCTAACTCCCTGTACTCATCTCCAAAAACCACATCCTAAAAAGTCCCAAGAGAGAGATGGGAAGGAGGTGCGCGAGGCCACCAACAGAGTGCAGGCTCCAAACAGCCCAGGTCGCCTCTAGGATGCTTCTGCTTTTGTTCTTTGGCCACAAGAGCTCTTTCCAACCTTCTGTGAAAACACACATGACCATGGGTGCGTACCTCTTATGGGTACTGTGATCACTGCAGGGATCTGGGTTCTGTGCGCAGCCTGATCCCACCGCTGCCTGAGGCAGGGCAAGTTGTCAAGAGACCATACCCAAGAGTCTTACCAAGCCCCTCCTGTGCCCCTGGGACAGGATGGTAAGGGCAGGACAGGAGGGTCTGGGAGGGGGCTCATCTCAGGTTCAATGCCCTCCTGATAGGACCTTCTATGTATGACAGCGAGGTCTACTGAGCCCCAAGAAAGAATCCTTCTAATCCAACCACTTGCTTATGTCACCAGCTTCTCTGCTCAGGCCCCAGCTGTTGGGCAGATTTGTCCCAGGGCCCTGAAGGGCCCCTGTCTAATACCTTTGTCCCAAACAGGCATTCTACTATCCAGAAGAAGCTGGTGTTTCCTTCGGGGGCCTAGGGTCCTCCCGGTATCTCCGACTAGAAGTTCATTACCACAATCCAGGGAAGATACAAGGTAAGGTGTTAAGAGCACATCTCCAGGCCCTGCTTCATTCTCTCGAACGCTTGGGTCAAGCCTGTCAGGTAGAGAGGGAACAAGGCATATGCATGCCAGAGACTACACAACGGCTTTTCTCCTTGTCTACTTTGTTGTAGTCCGCAGCCTAATGGGTTCCAAGCCTAGGGTTTGGGGTATCCCCCTCAAGCCAGGGCTCTAAGTGATTAGTGATATCTGCCATGAACCCTGGGGCAGGGCTTGGTGCTGTGCTCTCAAGCACCTGAACACTCAGTGAAAACAGAGCCTCACAAATGCCATGAGGTAGGCAGGACCACAGCAGGCCTTAGATCCAGAAGGCCAAGGGCCCTGCCAGTAGACAGCCAGACAGGAGCCGACTGCTCTAGACCAGATTCTTTCTCGAGCTTACGTCATGTATTTAGATAGCCCAAGCTATCCGATTTGCTCAGAAATGCCCCAGAAGGGCTACATCTGCCTACCTGTTTGTTCTCCCACCTGGCACAGAGCTGGAAAAAACTATTGAGTAGCCTGCTGGGCCTGAGAATCTGTGTTAAGCAGGGGAGTCTCAGCCCAAACAAGATATATCATGCTGCAAAGAGTTTCTAAAAAGGAGACAAGGTGTGTGTGAGCACGTGTGTGTGTGTGTGTGTGTGTGTGTGTGTGTGTGTGTGTGTGCGCGCGCGCTCGCAAGGATTAGTAAAAGGGCTAGAGTCCATGCGATGTGATTGGAATTTCAGGAGCATTTAGTGCCGATCTTGCAGGCCTAGCACGTTCTCAAGACAAGGACAAGGGAAATCACCATTACGGCTACATCATCCCATGCCTGAAGGTGAACAACTTGAGTGGGTTATTACGGAATAGACAGAGGACACTGCATCAGAAACTAAATATTTCATTGCTCTCGTACCCTGTTTTCCGTCAAATATCTCCCCTTCCCCTTCTCTTCCCCTTCTTTCCCCCTTCTCTTCCTTTCTTCCTCTCTCCCTCCTTCTGAGTGACACTTATCTCTGCCTATGCAAAGGAGGAGCAGACAGAGCCTGATAGACATAGACAGGGCCCACAGTGAGAGTGGAGCGGCTTCTGCACCCAGCTCCCCGCTGTATGTGGAACTGGCTATGCAAACTTAATGACACAAGTGACTTTCCCCCTGGCTGTAGCAATGCCTCTGCCACCACAGGAATTATCTACAGCATGCAGGGGAAGGCAGCTGGGGCCTGAGCACCATAGGGGATTTATTGCTCATTTAAAACCTGAGAGCAAAATGGATTTTTGAAAACTCCTTGGGTATCAGGAAAGTCTGCCTTCCCTGATCGTCTGCATGTATTTATGGCTCTTTTGCCAAATATAAGGGTGCTCCTGTCAGTGGTGAATTTTGAGACAGGCTGTTTTCTATTAATATCAAAATCCACGATTATCTCATTATTTAATCCCCATCTAAATTTTAACCAATTGCTGCTCCTTTTTATTATTTTCCTCTGATGTCATCAGCCCAGAGACAGAAGGGGCTGTTTGAATTTGGATGTTGTTGGGCTGTGGGTGTGGAGGTAGAGACATCACAAACGGAGATACCCTCAGATCAATGAACAGAAGAAAGCCAGGGCCTACCGGCAACATCCTGCATCCCAGCCAGTGGGTCCTGGGTTTAAGGCCAGGTTCAGGTGCTCCCCAGATCTTTGGTTTTAGGCAGGAGTCTTCCATTCCGCCTCCAGTCTTGGTTTTTCCATCTGTAAATGGGAACAATGCCCCTTACCATAAAAAGCTCCCAAAAAGGTGAAGGGAACCCAAGAGCAGCTTCTGACTCCATCTTCCCTGCTCTCTTCAGTCAAGACTAAGAACACTGTTCCCCGAGGGGTGCCTCAGGGGCTGCTGCTTACTATATGCCTCTTCCTCAGGCCGGCGTGACTCCTCCGGCATCCGCCTACACTATACATCCACTCTCCGGAACCATGATGCGGGCATCCTGGAGCTTGGCCTGGTGTACACGCCCCTGATGGCCATCCCCCCTCAGGAGACTGAGTTTGTCTTGACCGGCTACTGCACAGACAAGTGCACCCAGAAGGTGAGTGGACAGGGCCCTCCACATCCTCCTGGCTTCAATGACCAGGGCAGAGTGGCAAGACCCAGAGTGTCTGGGTCTCGGCACCGCCCTCTCCATGTTCAGCAAGAGCTTGTCCATGCTCATGCTTCCACAGTCACTTTTAAATTTTTTATTTATGTGTGTGATCATATGCTGCGTGTATATGTGTGTTTGTGTATGTGTGTGTGTTCCTGTAGAGACCAGAGCAGGGTGTTGTATCCCCTGGAGCTGGAGTTGGGTGGTTGTGAGTGAGCCTCCCAGGCAGGGTGCTGGAAACTAAACCCAAGTCCTCTGGAAGAGCAGCAAGCACTCATAACATCTCTCCAGTTATCCCAGATAGCACATTTTAACTGCTTTTGTTATGGGTGTATCTTCCAAACGGGACTTTCCAGGCTGCCCCACCTCCCACCGGACCATGTTTCACCACGAGGTAGGGACTAAGGGAGGCGGCAAAGTTCCCACCGTCCCTGAGGCTATGTGAGCACAGGGTGACTCAGCAGGGTAAAGCAAGTGGGCCTAGGCTTCTGCAGTAAGTAGACAGCGGCTCCCAGCCCGTGCCAGGGTGCTCTGATTCTCACCTGGCCTGCTGTCTTAGCTGGGCTCACCCGGCAAGAAGCTGCAGTGGATCTGGTATGACTGATTTCCTGACATGGAGGTCCTGAGGAGCCACACTGCTCAGTAAGGGTAGGGACAGTTACCAATGGGGATCTCACAGAGCCCTCTCTAGCCTGTCTGCCTACGATGCCCTCCCACACATGCCATGAACTGCTGTGATGGTCCTCCATGGTTTGGGAGGCAGGGAAGGGTATAGACCTGTAGGTCTCAGTTGTCCACAGCCTCCCCCCCCCCCCCGTGCTCATTTCTGTTAACATCTGCTCTTGCCCTTCCTTCACGAGTATCTCTGGCTGGTCACCATCAGTCTTACTGTTTGGAGCTCTTTTGATATCAGAGATGTGACTTCACCGTCTGCTGTGTGTGTTGTGTTCTCTGCTGGCTGCTTCTCTGCTTCTTACAGTGACCTGTCAGGGAAGAGTATTTCTGGATCACAGACAGGGAGACCCAGGCCTGCCAAGAGGACGCAGAGTCCAAAGCTGCACCACGGAGCCAGGTGTCTTTGTTGCAGAGCTCATAGTGTACACTCCTTCCCAGCACTCTCAAGGGATGACCTCTGTTCTCAGGAGTCCAGCCTACCTGAGCACCTGGGCTTTCATGTATTAGCCAAGCCCAGGGTTCTCAGGCTGAGACACTGGACACAGCTGCTCTTATCCTCAATCAAAGACTTTAGTCTGAGGCCAGGATGAGAAATCAACTCCCCTCCCCAGCCAAAACAGACATGTGAGAAGGCTGATGCTGGTGTCTGAGACCTGTGCCCACATCTGCCACTTGCCTGCATTCCTGGCTCATTAGCAAGGGACCCTGGCCCAGCATATATAGTCACAGTTTTAGTCATGAAGGCCCCTGGCTTTCATTGCGAGGGGAATAAAGATATCTACAATATGAAGGCAGGGACAGTAGCCAGAGCAAGACAGAAGGTTCAGAAGTAAAGGCAGATGAGTGGTAGAAAGCACAGCAGTCCGGGGTCATCCAGTGTTATCTTCCAGCATCAGGATCTTCAGTTACAGCCAGCAGCATGAAAGGAGCAGAGGACCGTGGCAGGGCAGCTGAATGGTGGCATGCTTCATGGTGCATCTGAGAAAACTTTGTATCTAAAGATGTGAACACAGATTAGGAAGACAACTGTTCTCTGGAGGATGCCCTCATGCCTTTATGAGAGAGGGAGGCCTCCCCAGACAAGAATTGGCTACCTTTCTGCCACTGGCATAGAGGACAGCATCATTGCTGTTGACCAAGGTCACAGTGACATCAGAGAGAATACAGCCCCTTGTGTACAGGGCACTCAAAGCCTGCCTGGAGCACTGCATGTGGTGGGAACTGCAGAATATCAATTGACAGGGAGCCCACAGAGAAGGGAGGTCTGTCTTGCCAACAGGAGATGGGCTTCAGAGGTCTGCTAGCTGAAGAGAAAGAGAACTTATCCTTCAGGAGCCCCCGGGAGACCAAAGGACAGGGGTACCATTTACCCTGAATGTGTTCTGGTCCGGCTGCTGGTTGGGGCTTACTACTTCAAAGTCTTGGGCTTCTGGCCACAGTAATGCTCTTAAACCATTCTGTAGCAGGTTTATGAGAGAGATCAGAGAGAATCGGCTAGAAAAAGCAAACATTCTGGTAAAGCCAGGGGATGATGCCTCTGCTCTGGGTCCCTGTCATTTCCCCCTGGGGTGTGACTCTGCCCCTCCCACAGGCACTGCCACCCTCTGGAATCCACATCTTCGCCTCACAGCTCCACACACACCTGACTGGCAGGAAGGTGGTCACTGTGCTCGCCAGAGATGGCAAAGAGAGGAAGGTCGTGAACAGAGACAACCACTACAGCCCTCACTTCCAGGTGGGAACCTGCCTGTCACCAGCTTCTGTTTCTCAGGGCTGGTTTTTGACCTTCCGCGGTAACCCGTGACCCAGTGTTCTGGCTGTCAACAAGGTCTTGGTGGCAGTTTGATTGATCTTGTCTCTTCCTGATTGAAAGCCACACTTAGTCGGCCCTGACTCCCCAGAGAGACAGAGGCAGAATGGATATCCCAGGGAGGCTTTGGTGGGGAAGTACAAGGTAGCTGGATCAGGGCGCTCAAATATTTTTCATCTCCTCTCTTCCCCATTCCAGGAGATCAGAATGTTGAAGAAAGCTGTGTCTGTCTTCCCGGTGAGTGTCTGGCAGGGACAGACGGCTGGGGTAGGAAATGTTTGGAGAACATTCTGTCCAAAAAAGAGACAGAGAAAGCAGTAAGGCAGGAGAGAGTCCACAGGGCAGGCACAGCAGGGCTGGGTGAGGTAGGTGTGGACTTCATGGCACAGAGGGGACATTGTCTTTTAGCTTCAGCTTAATCACAACCCCAAAGAGTTTCACACCCTGAGAATGCTGGAGAGAGATGGGGTGCCAAGATGCAGTCCTTGCCCACGCAGAGCTGAAGTTCTGACATGGCCGGTCAGGTCACGCATGATGCCACTGATGGATATAAGCCCCAGGGATACTTAGATTGCGAACCTCATTGTGAAGGGTGCTGGGCTGCTCATGGGAGAGCACACACACACCTGTCGGCACCTGGGTTGGTGCTAATGTGTCTGCTGTCTCACTCCCCAGGGGGATGTACTCATCACTTCTTGCACATACAACACAGAAGACAGGAAGCTGGCCACAGTGGTAAGTCACACTGGCTCTTCCAGCCAGCCACACAGAAAAGCGAACAGCCTGGAGTCTGGTTAAAGATTTCTTACCATTCCTGTGGTTGAGTGTAGGCTGCCAGAGGCAGGACTGCCCCAGATGGACTAACCACTCTCAGGGTATGCTTCTGAGTCCCCATCTCTACCAATCCTCCTCCAGATGCCCAGTGCTTGTTATCCAGGCAGCATGCTGGCCTCTGCATTTACCCCACTGAGTCAGACATGGAGGTGACATTGTCAGCTTCAGGACCTCATCTAAGAGCCACTACAGTGGATTCTCACTGGTACCCTGTGCTTGGTGTCCCTCTGGCATGGGAGGGGCCAGGAAGCACTTTGGGACTCAAAGTCCACCTGGGGAGACAGGCCATATCTACAACAGGACATAAGCAAAGTGATGGGGTCACAGAAATTTTTACCAGAGCTAGGACATCACCCAGAGATGACAGAAGGGGTGTGAAGGGTCAGGGAAATATGGACTAAAGCTTAGGCTTCATGTGTCAGAAGCCTCAGAGGATTAAGGTTGTTTTTCAGATGGGGAAATGTTTAGCTGTGGGAGGGAAGGCAGCACCAGGCAGGTGGGTGTGGCCAGCCACTCCAGGGAAGTGACATGGGTCTTGTTTTGGCTGGACTGTGCATAGTTCAAGGAGGAGGAGTACCTCATGGAAGGACTATTTGCAAGGTGAGGCGTGCAGGAAATGTGTCATCCAGCTGGGGAACATCAGGCAGGGAGAGAGATGTTGTCCATGGTTTTCTTGGGTCACCACTCTTCCCAGCCATTAATCCCAATGACCTTTTAATTCGTCCTTGAGCACCAGATAATGAACACATCAACTGTGAGGTTCAGAGAGGGTCAGGCATGGGGCTACATCACACCCTGGCACCCCAAACCCCAGGAACTCTTATCAGTACCTTAGCACTGTTTGCTGCAGTCCAGGGCCCCCAACAATGTTTCACGTGTGTTCTTTAAATAGCTTTATTGTGAGATGATTCACACACCACTCAGATGACGTACGTGAAGTGTGCAGCTCGTTGCCTGGAAGCATGTTCACAGATACATGCACACAGCCAACCCACAGCTATCACCTCCAGGTCCCCTCGCCCAGCCCAACAAACACAGATTCACTTGCTCTAGTTGTTTCTATTCTGAACATTTCTCATCACTGGAGTTACATGATGTGCAGCCTTCTGTGGCTGGATTCTTTCCCATACATTTACTCCATCTTAGTTTCATCGCAATCTCTAAGGCAAGCATTTTCCTGGGCACTTTCACAGGCATCATCTCCTTCCTGCAGGTGCATCTGCTCTGGGTGGGGGTGGGGAAGCACCTGCCAGTCGGGTGAAGGGAGGCCCCAGGCCTGCTCTGCTAGAGCAGAGTCACAAGAGGACAAGGAACCTCCTTGACTGTTTAGGGCTCATGACTTCTTAGGGTGGCTCCATCTGACACCAGAGGAAACCCTCCCAGAAGGCAGACCTGAGCTCCCTGCCTCTGATAACCTGTGGATGAAAGAGAGAGGGGCCTTTGAAATGCAGCTTCCTTCCCAAAGTGAGAGAGGAGGGAAGGCAAATCTGCTCTGGCATTCAGGTCCTATTCTCATCCTTAACCTCTGAGGTGGCAGAGCTGGGGCGGGGGAATTGTGGGAGGGGTCCCACGCTCACTGAGAGCTATGAAAGCTGGACACTGCAGAAAGTCCCATCCAGGACACGGGCCAGGCTGACTTCTTATGGTGAACTTCCTTCTCCCACACCTCCGTAGACCTACCCCAGGCTCTATCCACTCAAGGAGGGGCCAGCTGAGCTTTGCACCATCCATGTGGTCTGTCATGAAGTAGTGAAGGCTTTTCTCCCTTCACCAGCTCTGACCAGCCAAATAAAGTCTTCCTCCCAACACAAAGTGCCAGGATCCTGGAGCGAGGCTGAGACAGCCCTGGGCTGGGCTCTCTGCCTGGAGTTCTCTGCCCCCGCCCCCATCAGGGCTTGTTCACTAACTCTGAGAGCAGCGAGTAAGTGGTGGGGATGTCACCTGCTCTGCTCTGTCCCTCCGGTATTGCAGATAGGTGATCTGAGGACTGGAGTCTCTCCTGGGTACCAGCAGCCCTGCAGGACCAAGATGACCAGTAGCCAGTGGGGTTTGCAGTATGTAGGAAGGTCATCTCTCACTGGAGACCACAGGGATTTGTCCCCTATTCCCTAAGACTCTGTGCTATAACCCATAAGGCAAAAATAGCAAGGCTGTCTTTTTCTTCACTTTGTTTTTTTCCTAAATCTAATTTTGTTTCTATATTTATTTATTACAATTTATGCACTTTGTGTCCCCATTGCAGGCCCCTCCCTGGTCTCCTCCCAGTCCCACCTTTCCTCCCTTTTCTCCCCCTAAGCCCTTTTCCTAGTTACCTGATAGGGGAGGACCTCCTCCCCTTCTATCTGACACTAGCTTATCAAGTCTCATCAGGGTTGGCTGCATCATCTTCCTCTGTGGCCTGGAAAGGCTGCTCCCCCCAGGGGGAGGTGATCAAAGAGCCAGCTACTGAGTTCATGTCATAGACAGCCTTTGTACCCCTTACTAAGGAACAAACTTGGAAACTGAGCAGCCAATGGGCTTCCTTTGAACAGGGGGTCTAGGTCCTCTCCATGCATAGTCCTTGGTTGGAGTATCAGTCTTTGCAGGGTCCCCTTGATCCAGGTATTTTGGCTCTGTTGTTCTCCTTGTGGAGATCCTGTCCCCTCCAGGTCTTTCTGTCTCCCTCCTCTTCCATAAGAATTCTGGCACTCTGGCCAAAGTTTGGCTATGAGTCTCAGTATCTCCTTTGATACCCTGGTGATCTAGCTATACCAGTCCTAGGCATATAACCAAAAGATGCCCCACCATTCAATACAGACATTTGCTCAACCATGTTCATAGCAGCTTTATGTGTAATAGCCAGAATCTGGAAACAACCCAGATGTCCCTCAACAGGGGAATGGATACAGAAAGTGTGGTACATTTACACAATGGAATACTATTTAGCAATTAAAAACAAGGAACTCATGAAATTTGCAGGCAAATGGTGGGATCTAGGAAAGATCATCCTGAGTGAGGTAACCCAGAAGCAGAAAGACACACATGATATGTACTCACTTATAAGTGGATATTAGACATATAATATAGGATAAACATACTAAAATCTATAGTCCTAAAGAAGCTAAACAACAAGGAGGACGCTGGGGAAGGTGCTTAATCCTCATTCAGAAGGGTAAACAGGATCGATATCGGAAGTAGGTGAAGACAAGGAACAGAAGAGGAGCCTTCCACAGAGGACCTCTGTCTTTTTTTTTTTAATCACTATCTAATGCGTATTTACTAGGTCACTGTCTGTCCCTCTGCCACAGCAGAACCTTGAGCCAGGGACCTCTTCCTGGCTCTAGTCCTGGGACTTCGATGGCACACTGCAGCAAGCAGCTAGATGCATTGGGAAACAAGTGGCCACAAGAAAGCCACAGGCAGAGAGTGCTGAGAGGGTGTGCTGAGGGCGAACAGGGTCTTCTTTCACCTGCAGGGAGGTTTTGGGATCTTGGAGGAAATGTGTGTCAACTATGTGCACTACTACCCGCTGACCCAGCTGGAGCTCTGCAAGAGTGCCGTGGATGATGGTTATCTACAGAAGTACTTCCACATGCTGAACAGGTGAAACACTTTTTCTTGCTTTCTGCCCCTGGGGAACTCAGCATGGGCAAACTCTGCACCCTGCACTGTGTTCCCTGACCCATGTCCTACGGGGGGGGGGGGGGGGGGGGGGGGGGGGGGCAGGGGCTGCGTGGCCAAATACAGAGTTTAAGCTAAGTCCCTGGAGCAAAGTTAACATGCAAACCATCAGACCTATGTGTCTTCAGAGGTGCCTATGGTGGGTGTCACTAATCAATCTCTTGACTTACAAGAAGCTGCCACGAGAGTAGCCATTATCAACAGTCAAAGGTGACATAGAGGTGGAGGAAGGATCAAGACAGCCTCTTAGGCAGTGGATAAAGGAGGTGAGGCTGGGGAGTTGACACAGGGCAGCTGTCTGGAGCCATGCTGGTCTACAGCCCTCTATTATATCGTTAAGCTGAGTTGTTCTCTTTCCTTCCAGATTCAACGGTGACGAGGTCTGCACCTGCCCTCAGGCCTCCGTTCCCGAGCAGTTCGCCTCTGTGCCCTGGAACTCTTTCAGTGGTACAGTGCTCAAGGCTCTGTATGGCTTTGCCCCCATCTCCATGCATTGCAACAAGACCTCTGCCATTCGCTTCCAGGTATGACTGCATGGGATTAAGTGGTGGGTCGCAGCACCGACAAATCCCATTGCTGCCTGAATCTCCAAGCCCAGGACCATCCATATCCTGAGGAGGACCGCAGGGGGGTTGAGGGAGAGCACCTTCACCTTTGGACAAGAAGCACTCACGTGAGATAGAGAAAATGATTAGGTAGTGATGGAGACAGCAGAAGGCAGATGATAAGGGGAAGGCCAGCGAAGGCCAGGGATGCCATTTCTCCTGACAGTGCAACCAGGGGCTAACCTTAGCTCTGTCTGAATGGTGTGTGAGTGAGTGCCAGCACCCTCCTCAGGGCATAAAAATAGAGCTGTGGGCAGGGGAGGTAAGAAACCAGAATTCTGTGACAAAAGCCTCGAAGCCCTGCTTCTCTCCTTATCAGAAGCCTGCTGGGATTCAGAGGCACCTAATTTATTTCCTAGTCTAGCTAGCCAGCAGCAGCAGTGCCAGCCCAGAGTGCTGGTCAGCAGAGCCAACCTGCTGTGTTAGGCAGGGGAGGCAGGCACTGTACCGGGAGGTGAACAGACCTTTCCTGGCAGCATTTGGGTGCTGGATTAATTGCTAACCCAAACACCCATGCCATGGGGAGGCTTGCTCACCCCAGGGCAGTTTGGGGCACTGATGTAGCTAGATCTTGGTTTTTGCAGAAACCTCATTGGGAGACAGTGGCTAAAACCACAGCCTGACTCCAAGGATTCTGATCCTTGACTCAGGGTATACTCAGGGGCCTCCAGGTTTCTGACCAGAGAACACAAAAGCTTAGGGAAAGGGCCTGGATCCTTTGGTGGTAACCTTCAAAGAGTGATTTGGAAGAGGCAGGGAGGGTTCAGCATTGGGATAAATGAATTTAAAGACAAGAACCCAACTGGCTAGAAAAACAGCAGCCGTCTGTCTCCTCCAGCCTCAGTTTAGCTGGTCCCTTTCTTACAGGGTGAATGGAATCTGCAGCCTCTGCCTGAGATCACCTCCAAACTGGAAGAACCCACCCCACGCTGCCCCATACGACAGGCTCTGAACCCCTCTGACCACAGGAGCGTGGTCATCACAACTGAAGCAGAGGCTCAGTAGGCTCATCTTCTGAGAGGCTGTTCTTCAGCCCCTCCTCGTGATGTCCTGACGGGCTCACACCATCTCTGTCCACCCCTGCGTGACCAATCCCCTCCATAACATAGTGAGTGCTGTTCACCTAGGAGGAAGGAGCATATCGCCTCGGAGACGCCTGCAGTGGCGGAGACAATCCCATGAAGTCCAGTTGGGCGGAGCAGAGCTGGACATCACCCACACACTCCACATAGGGACAGCTTCAACACCAGAGGAACTAACCTTGCCTCCAGAACAGCCTTGCCAGTCTGGATGCAGACTCTCAAAGCCCCTCAGAACACTCCCTGTTAGCCCTGCAGTGGTAACTCCTGTTGGTGTATGCCTTGACAGCACTGCTTAAATATCTCTTTGCAGAGTGGCTCGTGTTTCCCAGTGGGCGGCTTCCCTGCGACAAGACAGGACAAGGCATTTAGCTAGTTAGAGACTCACCAGGGGAACTTGCTTCTTGGCAAAGTAAATAGATATTTTCGCCTACCTAAAGGGAAACCCCAACAGGTAGTTCTATCATGGAGAGCCAAGATGGCTGGAGCCAGGCTCTGAGGGAGAATGGTATGAGTAGGGCCAGTTGTTTTTTCTGCTGGTGACAGGCCAGGTTCTGAATGGGTAGGTGAAAACCTGGCTTGGCTCCTTAATGAAGCAGTGACTAGAGCAAGCTACTTAGCTGCCCGACACTCAGTCTTCTTGTCTATAAAATGAGACTCTCCCTCGCCTAGCACTAACTGTGGACACATGAATGTGCTGAACCTTTCTGGGGTCTATGGTGTCACATTGCCCATGTGAGGGAGGCCTGCTTCCATAAATCTAGCTACCTCTCCCCTCCCTGACTCCTTCTCTCCCTCAGGCTCCTGTGTAAGGGCCAGCTCAGCTCTTTGATGGCTTTGGAAGGGAGAAGGAGACTGGGCTCTTTTTAGCTATTTCAGCAAAATGCAGCCCAGGCTCCTTTGGGCAGGAAGGGTGATGGATGGGCCTCATGTCCCCCCCCACAACTCCCCACCTCAGACATCAGCTAAGCACAGCCTCCCCTTCAGCAAGACACTTTATTACTGGGAAGCCAAAGTGCCCGGACTCTCTGCGCCTTGTGGTATGAATCATGGCTCCAGGTGCCCATAAGTCATGGGCATAATCGGTGTGAAATGCCAGGCCTGACAGCCCAGAGAAATGCTCAGCTCTTCGTCATCTGTACAGCCTCAGAGATAGCGAAGACAGGAAGTCTCCATAGCTGTGCCTCTATGGCTTCCTGTCTGCGTAGCCTGGAGCCAGAGAGTACAAGAAAGACTGGTGCAGCTCTGAGGAGCCTGATCTTCAGCACAGTTACTCTACTCTTAGTGGTGTGCCAGCTTCTAGACAAAAAAAAAACTGTCTAGAAGGCCCGAGAGCTGCAAGAGGACCTGCCTGACACCCATATGACATGTCCAGACCCACAGTTCCCTGTTCCTCCTCTAGGCCGTCATGTTCTTTCTCCAGGGAGGTCATCTGCTCCCCACACTGCTTCTGTCACAACAGGGCCCACCAGGTGACAAAGGTGTTATGATAGCCATGGCGGCCAGTTGAAGCATATGAGGTCCACACCAGCTACCCAAACCTTTAAGGACTTGCTATGTCTCTTCCCTAGACAAATGAGGAAACTGAGGCTGAGAGACCTGGGGTTAAATGGCAAGATCCCTGTAGTGAGCTGTGGAGCCCAGAAGGTCTGTCTGATACCAGCATGTAGGCTCCCAGACTCCATATACTTATTTTCCAAGCAGAAATCATGAGTGGGCTTATGAGAATTGAACATGAGGACACCAGGGTAACAGGCTATTGAGACCACATCCTCCAACCATGCTCTAAGCCAAAGCAAGTCTCCAGACCCACCCCTCTTCTGCACTGTGGTGGGAGCAAAGGCCTGAGTGTGAGCCATTCCCACTTCTACTGGGTGTATTGCTTTCCCTTGCTGGAGCAGAGGACTCTCTAGCCTTCCAAAAGCAGGGCTTTCTGGAAGCGCCACAGGACAGGCTGTGCTGGTCTAAAGCAGAGTTGAGAGGACCTTGAGAGCCAGTAGGGTGACCCCAGGCCAAGGATCTTGAACTGCTCACAAGCAGTGATGTCTGGCAGCCCTCAGTCTTAGTAGCTATTTAATTTTTATTTAGATTAATGTAAAAAAAATGATAAGCACCAGGACTAGGACGTGGATCAGTTGGTGAAACACTTAGCTTTACATGCACAATACCCTGGCTTCTCTCTCCAGAATCACATAAAAATGGGCACAGTTACATGAGCTTACCCGTCACCCCAGCATTTGGGAGGTGGAAACAGGAAACTCAGAAACTCAAGGTCATCCTCAGCTACACAACAGAGTTCAAGGCCAGCTTAGTCTGCATGATACTCTGTCTCCAAAGTGAGACAGAAGTTGGCCAAGGACACAGTTCTGTTGGCAAAACCATTGTCATGCAAGTGCGAGGACCTGAGTTCAATCCCCAGAACCTATGTGAAGGTGCATGTTTACAGTCCTAGCTCTGTGGTGCAGGGAGATATGGATCTCATCAGCCTAGCTTACCCAGTGAGCCTTGGGTTCCAGTGAGACGCCTTGTCTCGGAAAACAAGGTAGACAACTGAAAAGCAAAATCCAAGGTTGACCTCTGGGCTCTCTTTACATGTATGTGCATGGACATAAATGTACACACACACACACACACACACACACACACACAAACAGAGAAACATTTCCAGACCCCTTTCTGTTATCACTCCCTCATGTCAGGACTCAGCACATTGGATGGGGCATCAAGGCAGCATCCCATCATTGTGGGAAGCTGCTTGGCATTTTTGTCTTGGAGGCCAGAGGGCACCTACCACCTGTGTTGCAGAAGGTGGAGACTTCTCACCCAGTACAGAACTGGTGGCACTTTACAAACTGTAGTGGCCTCCTACAGTGCTTAAGCTTGCATACACAGACCTTTGTGGGCTTGCCAGTTGTCTAAAGCCCTCAGCTGGCTACACTGGAGCCTGCTTGGTAGTGGGAACCCAAGACCCTGGCCAGGCATGCAAAGTGCCTACTTTCAGGAAAAGGCACCGTCAGGTCTTCGGTAGAAGAGGTTGGGAGGGCCCAGGCAGCCCAAGCTTGGTGATTAGATACTCAGCAAGTTTACACTGAAGTCAGGGGGTGGGGAGAAAGATAGTGGGCGGTGACCCAAGGTGGAGGGGGCCACATGCTATCGTATTCAGGGCTATTTGACCAGACTGGATCCACAACTGTCTGGGTCACAAGTGGCTGGGCCAGCAGGAAGTCTTCTGATGCTCTTCATAGATGCCCACCTTTGTCTGCCTCTCACCACAGCCCAAGGGCAGCCTGAGTTTTCTCTGCCCATGTTAGATTGGGCCCAGAGGGCCTGTGGGCCCTCTAGCTCACTTCCCAGGGATGCAGAACCTCTTGCCTGCCTGCTCACCCCTACCCTCAAGAGTAACAGGACAGGATTCAGGGCAGTCCTTGGCAGTCCCTCTGGCCTCTGAGTCCCCATGGGGCACAGGCTCAACCAGGCTGGATGGAGCTCCAGGGCCATGGTTGTTCCTCCAGGCAGAGTCCCTAAGCTGAGGCAGAGTGAGAAATTTCCATCAATTGGTCCCTCTCTGCAGGTTGGATGGTTGAGATACCACTTAGGACAGGTAGCAAGCTGGTCAGGCCTACCTCAGGGACGTGACACATGAGTGACTTGCTGTCCACCACCTGTCTGTGCCTCCCTCTTCTCCAAAAGTTTCTGCTGTCTTCCATGCAAGCTAAAGGGGCATGGCCCTGTGCCAGCACCATGCACAGGAAGCCTCTGGGATGTGCGGGAGGGGAAAAAAGTAGAAGTGGCCTAGACATTTTGCTACCAAGACTTCAGTCTTTACCAGAGAAATGGACATCTTACTCTTCCAGAGGCCCGTCCCATCTCCAACGGAAGATGTGTGGTATAGTATGCTGGCCTTGCTCTCTCTTGTATTTCTGGTTGTAAGCCTAACATTTAATGACCAAGCCATCTCTCCAGCCCAAGCATTCTCCATGTGTGTATACTTACACATGGGTGTTCAAGCACATGTGTACCCATGCATGCAGAGACCAGAAGTTGATCTCATTTCTCTTCCTCTGTTACCTTCATCCTTATTGTTTGAGATAGGGCCTTTCACTGTCTTGGTTGGGATTTCTATTGCTGCGACAACACACCATGATAAAAAAGCAAGCTGGGGAGGAAAGAGTTTATTTGGCTTACACTCCCAAATCATAGTCCATCATTGAAGAAAGTTAGATCAAGAACTCAAGCAGGCAGGAACCTAGAGGCAGGAGCTGATGCAGAGGTCACGGAGGGTTGTGCTTCCTGGCTTGCTCCTCGTGGCTTGCTCAGCTTGCTTTCTTATAGACCCCAGGACCACCAGCCCAGAAATAATACCACCTACAATGGCCTGGGCCCTCCCCCATTGGTCACTAATTGAGAAAATGCCTGACAGATGGATCTCATGGAGGCGTTTTTTTTTTCACCTGAGGCTCCTTCCTCTATGATGACTCCAGCTTGTGTCAAGTTAACACAAAAAACACCAGCCAGCCCACTCATTAAACCTAGATCTCACTGATTGGCTCAGACAGGTGGCCAGCAGGCTCCGGGCATCTGCCTGCTTCTGAGTCCTCCCTGGCTCTCAGTGCTAGTTATAAAAATGGGTCCTGGGGATCCGGAATCATGTCCTCAAGCTTTCATGCCAAGCGCCTTACCAGCCCTAAAGAAAGCATTATTGCTCAGTATAAGGGAGACCAGGACGGGGGCCTGTGTGTATACATGAAGAATAGCTGGGCAAGACGTGGCCTGTCCCCCTCCTCTGCAGTGACAGCCCCACCCAGAAGCCTCTGAACCTCAATATTGTTGTACCTCACTGAGGCATCTGAGGGTACCAAGACCCGTCCTCCCCCTCCTCTGCCAGCTACACTGTTCTCCACACTTGAAGCACTTTCATATCAGTTCTCCAGTGATTTCTGATAGACAGTGCTCAGCCACAGCGGGGGTGTGTGTGCGCGTGCGCTTGATTTTCCAGAAAGAAAACGTTTTAAAATATAACTATGAGATGAGCCTCTCGATTAGCAGTGCGGGAAGGCAGGCCTGAGGTCTGTGTGACACACGCAGGATGGGATGTCCTGGGCAAAGGCACTTCGGGGACTCTCCAGATGTGCAGGTGAGCTTGGGAGGGGACTCCTGACAGCTGATCTCACTCAGGGGCCCAACATCCTTCCAAGCACTGTGCATCATGGAGGCAGGCAGGCATGGGAAAGGCGTGTGAAGGTCTGGGAGAAATGAGTTAGGCTGGGAAAGCACTCAGACCTCCCTTGTCCTGAGCTATCCCCAAGGACAGGTTGTGAGCTGCATGTGGTCATCGGCCCGATCCAGGGGTCTTGGCCAGACTACAGATGGGGGGTTGGGGGAGGCTGGACAATCTCGCAACCACCTTTCCTTTCCTTCACTCCCTTTCCCCCTTCCTTCACTCCCTTTCCCCCCTCCCTTCCCCTCCCTGCTCCACTTACCTCCCTCCCTTTTCCCCATCCCCCTCTCCTCCCTCTTCCCCTTCCCTTCTCCTCACTCCTCCCTCTTCTTTCCCTTGGATCCACAAAACTCATGTTATCCAAGAGCCAGCACTGTAGTCCCAAGAGAGCACAGGTGTTCCTTCAGTCATCCAGAGACGACTCCACACCCTCCCGCCTTCAGCCCTTCCCTAGACTCAGGAGACTAGATCTGCTTTTGAAAGGCCAGCTAATACCCCACACATCTTCCCATGGTTTCAGTTTTATTAACTTGACCTTTTCCAGCTCAGGGTGTGGTGTGTAAGCCTGTGAAGATTCAGAGCCCACCCAGGACAACTGTGCCCAGATCTCCCCTCTGCTGCCTTCTTTGGGCTTAGAGACCCTGGCTCAGTACTACAACAGAATCTGCCTCTTGCTGTCCTAGACTACAAGGCATGAACTGTAAGACCTTTGTTTGGGCAGCCACCGCAACCTAATTTCTCAGTCAGGGTGAGAAGCAAAGGAAGAAGACTGGGTCTATAGAAAAGTGATGGACATTCACCCCAGGAAGGTGGGCCAGGGTCACTCCTGACATGCAGGCAGGTGTAAATGGTTATAGAGCGGCAGGAGGAGCCACTCTCTCTCATAGACCTGGGCTGGAGCAGCCCCCTCAGCAGAGGCTGAGCAGGAAGCCATATGTCTGTGACAGAGACCCAAGACCTTGGAAAGAAACACGACAGCAGGGTCCTGTGCAACAAGTAAGCTTGGTGTCCCTGAACCCACGAGCAACTGCTTGAGGGGAAACTGAGGCAGAAGCTGGCATTTTTGTGTAAGTACTGGAGGTTCCTGAATCCAAAGCCCATGCTACACCTCCTCCCCTCCCCCCGGAGAGGCTGACCACTCTCAGAAGGCTTTTTCTCCTGCAGAACTAGAAGGGTAAGGCAAGAGCTTTCTTCCCCTCTCCTCTCTGGTCTGAAAGGCATTCATCCTGGGGAAGGACTGCTTCAGTCCAACACCTGCCTTTGTGCTCTCCATCCTATACCCGTGCAGACATTGCTCATCAATCCCTGCTCACTCTCTCCTGATTCACCACTATTCAAGTGCTCTGGCTGCCCATTGCCAGGCGGCCAAGTGAGGAACAGAGGGGAAGCTTGCCTGCTTTATGGCTCCTACCTTGAGTTAACCACACACCTGAGATATTCACAGGGACCTTGAGAGGATTGGGGTGGGTTGGAGACCATTCTGTGGTCTGTCAGCAGGAGGAACATAGTGGTCCATCCAGTCCTGGTTAACAGGACCAGACGGAGGCTAAATGTGGGGAAGTCTGTGTTTCGCCTGTATCCTGGGTCTCGGGACACAAGGATGTTTGTGCTGTGCAGGAGTACACATACAGTGTGGAAAGTGTGGCAGTTTCCAATGGCCTGAGCAGTGGTAGCCTCTACCCTGCCATCCATCAATAGATTCCCTTCACTCGCTTGTTGTCAGGGTCGAAGGGAGACTTCACGTGAACCTGGGCAGCATAGGTGACCCCCATTCTCTCCAAGGCATACTCTCCACTCTTCACAAAGTCCAGAGAGACCTAGGAGCAGAGGGCAGTCAGGGTCACTCAGTTGTTACTGGGAGGGGGGGCTAGTGTTTCCTGCTCATACCTCACTGATAAACTGACCTCTGTACCAAGCCCTTTCCCTGAGACAGGGGCCTTCCAAGAACAGTAGATCATATGCTCTACCTATGCCCATAAGCCAGACAGGAATATCTGAGCCCATCAAAGGCCGGGTCTGGTAGCCAGCAAGACTTCTTCCTCTGCACGACCTGTTCCCATGACCTGTTCCCAGATCCTTTCGAAGATGGGGCTCAGGCAGGAACCTGGATGGATTTTAGAGTCAGACAAACACATCATTGCTATAGGGCAGGGGCCAGTGGCCAGACATGTTCTCCTGAGGGACAGGGTGAATGGAACAGCTTTCTGGACAGCATGGCCCCTGAGGCCTCCAAGGCCCTCCTCCAACTCACATCTGGCTCCCTCTGGAGCTGTTAGCTCTAGAAACAGGTGCTCCTCAGGCTTGGGAGAGTGCTGTAGCCTGACACTCTACTGTGCTGGAGGGAGAAATGCTCCTAGGCCACCCAAGGAGTGATTCTTTGTGTAAAGTAAGGACTCCAGACCCAGGCTGAAGGGGTCTAGGGCTGTTTCTCCTCATTCCTGGTGGCTGCTCAGGACTGAATAGAAAATTTTTTAAAAGGCATGCAAAAAGAAAGAAGAAAAAAAGAAAGAGAAAAAAGAAAATACAACCTTTTAAGCTATGGGATCTTCAGGGGCAAGGCCTCTGCCACACACTTCCCTACATGGCTGGGAGGCTGGTGGATTTCAGCAGAGGAAAGGCATGTGTTCTGGGACTACCCAACCTAGCTGACCAACACCCACAAGCCACAAAATTGTTCCTGCCTCTTTAGTCTTACTTAGAAATGTGGATTATCTCCACACAAAACTGATAAATGGGCTGGGGCGCAGCATCTGCCCACTCTCCTGGCATGAATATTCTAGAAGCTTGACCCCAGCGCGGGCCACCAGCTTCTCGCGCCTTTGATCACCCTCGGTGTTGGGCTCTGTAGCTGTGTGGGACTCACGCTGGGCCGCCTGGGCTCTGGTTATCAGAAACCCAGAGTTCTTCGAAAGGAAAGGCTGTAGGTCCTCCCCTGCCCACCAAGCCTGGGCACCAGCAAATGATCTGCTAATTTCACCTTGGCTGGGACCCAGGCAGTGGCCTCTCAGGGTTAAAGGAAGTCCTGTGTAACCACCAGTGTTTACCTGGTCCCAGGCTGGTTTGTAGTGTTTGATAACTGTCAATCAAGGTCCACTCAGCGGGTGGGAGCCTGTGCCCTTTCTATAGGTAAAGCTGGGGCTCTTAGAGAAACTCCCGGCCCACAGTCACAGAGCAAGAAGAAACCACAACTTCAAGTTAAAACCAGTGTCCTGAGCCTCCTGCTCCAACACAAGACTCCTTCCTACTGGCGGCCACCCACCCCCACCTGGGCTCCAGAAGTCAGGCTACCCCCTAGGCCTCATGGGAGCCACTTGTCTGTCCCTCTTTCCTAGCCTGGTACCTCCTCCTTCCATTCTGCTGGACACTGTAACCCAACTTTCCTTAGTGTCAGGCAGAGTCAGCTAGAAGGCATAGCCCGGTTGGCACCTCTGGGCTGAGATCGTGCCATGGGAGATTTCAGAGAGACTTGGGCAAAGGTACACATCCCTCTAGGAGTGCTTAGGTGGTGTGAAAATGGTACTACCCACCACATGTCTAAACCCATGTCTGGAGAGCAGGAACAAGTGAAGTCCACCCTTCTCCCTGGGGACGTGGCTGCCAACCTCCTTTGGCTGTCCAGTCTGCAGCCTGGGTTTGGCTTACTTGTTGGGGTTGAGGTATCTGGGCTGAGGAGGCAGGGCAAAGATGGTCTGCTAGCCTCTAAGACATTGTCCCAGCCCTGCAACTCTTTTTGATCAAGAAAATTCTGGGACTGCCCCAGTCAGATAAAGGAGAAAACAGACTCTGCTGGAGACCAGGCCTGGGCGCTCGTCCTCCCTTCCTAGCTTCCTTCCTCTTGTGTTCCTAGCATACACAGGCATGGCACTGAGGATCTGGCATGGAGCCTGGGAAGGGACAAGGAACAGGGTTTGCTCACCGGACCACCACTGGGGTCTTGGATGTAGCCATAGGCGATTGTCTTGTTCACGGTGAACCCGAAGTCAGCCCTCCGAACATGGCCCACCACTTGGCCGTTTCTCCAGATGGCTTCCAAGCCAAACATAGGCACCTCTCTGGAAGAAGAAAGAAGAGGGCTGGAACCCAGACAGGTGGAAACACAGCCTGAAAAGATGAGGAAGCTGGACTGTGCCTACAAGACCACATGCCCCTACCAGGACTTTGCAAGCTCCCAGTAGCCCAACACCTGACCTGGGGTGACAGGAAGACAGGATGGGAGTGAAAGGGAGAATTAGTAGAAATCCTTAACTACCTTGTTAAAGTCTATATTAATTGTAGAGAATAATTGGGGGCTGGAGAGATATCTCAGCAGTTAAGAGCAATCACTGCTCTTATAAAAGGCCACAGTTCAGTTCTGAGCCCCCATACCGCACTGCCCAGGGCATCCGATGCCCTTGTCTGACCTCTGTGGTCATCCATGCACATACGGCACACACTCACACAGAAAACACATACACATAAATAAAATAAAATAAAATAAAATAAAATAAAATAAAATAAAATAAAATAAAATAAAATCTTTTTAAAAGAAAAATGCTCTATTTCGCTATGAAATCATCATATGTGTACGTATGTGTTCACATCCACCCAGACACCCTCTCTTGTCCTGTCTCTCTACCCATATAGCCCCTCCCCTTCTATTTGCATGGCATATATATACACCAGCATTCACACTTAAACACACATTTGTGTCACACACTAAGGAAAAGTCAGAGTGTTTCTCTCTGAGCCTATCTCTTTTCTCTAACAATGCCCTCTAGCTCCGTCCATCTTCTTGCAATCAGTACAAATTTAGGGCTGGAAAAACGACTCTGGATAAGAACACCTGTGCAGGCCTGAGGACCCGAGTTCAAGCCCCCTAGCCCCAATGCAAAAAGGAAGGTACAGCTGCATAGGCCCGTACGTCCAGCCTCGGGGAACGGAGACAAGTAGATCCCGAGGATTTCTTGGCTGACCAATCCAGTGGAATCGGTGAGCCTTCAGTTCAGTAAGAGACCCATCCTGAGGCAATAAGCTGGCAAGTGACAGAAGACGCTGATGCCCTCCACTGGCCTTTGTGGACATACACATGGACTTGCACACCCATGTGCACGCACAATGCATACAACACCAAAATAAACAATAAAACAAGCTGGGTGTGGTGGCGCACACCTTTAGTCCCAGAGCTCGGGAGGTAGAAGCAGGTGGAGCTTAGTGAGTTCAAGGACAGCTTGGGTCACATAGAGAGTTCCAGCTTAGTCAGGGATACATAATGAGACCTTGTCTCAAAAGAAAGAAAGAAAACAAATTGGAGATTGCCCGGCAATTAAGAGCACTTGCTGATCTTCCAGAAGACCCAAGTTTGGCTCCCATTAGCTCACATCCAACTATAACTACAGCTCTAGAGGATCTGACACATTCTGGCCTCCATGGACATCTGTACAAATGTGGTACACACACACAGAGTTTTTAAAATAAAAGTTTTTAACATAAAACCCCACACCAAAGAGAGGTAAAACTACAATTCCATTGTTATTCATAAGTAAATAATATACCATTGTGTATGTAAACCATATCTTCTTTAAAATTCATCTATTGGGCTGTGTATGGTTGACACACACCTTTAATCTCAGAACTCAGGAGGCAGAGGCAGGCAGACCAATATGAGTTCAAGGACAGCCTGGCCTATAATAGTTCCAGGCCAGTCAAGTCTACATAATGAAATACAGTCTCAAAAAAAAATTAATAAAATAAAATTCATCCATCCAGATATCTTGGCTACTAAGAACACTGCTGCAGTAAACATGACTTTTCAAGCACTTGTGCAGCAGGCTGACTCAGAGCCCTGCGCTATACACCGGGAGGGCAAGGCTGAGTCACATGGAAGTCCCTTTGCCACAGTGGCTCGGGTGATTTACATTCCCAGCAGCGGTGGATAACTGCATCCACACTGGCATTTGCTGCCATTTCGTTTCTTGCTGTCAGCCACTCTGACTGGAGCAGGAGAGAATATCATCATAGCTCTGGTTTGCATTTCCCTCATAGCTAAAGACACGGAACAATTTCTCATATGTTTATTGGCCAATTGCATTTCTCTTCTTTTTCAGCTGTCTGTTGAGTTCATTTGCCCACTTCCTCAATGGATTATGTGTGGGGCTGGTGTTTAATTTGTTGCTGTTCTTGAACTCTGAGTATATATATTCGCTGTCAGATGAATGGCTGGCAGGGCCCTCCCGTCCTGCAGGGTGCTTGCTGTGGACTCTCTATTTCATGCAACCCAGTCATCAGTTCTTGTGCTGACTTTCTGAGCTACAGGAGTCCCACTCAAAAAGGCCTTGCCCATGTGCCAGGACCATGCTGGTTTCTCACTATGGCTCTACGGTACAATGTGAGGTCAGTTGTGATGATGTCTTTCATTTCTCAGTTTTTGCTCAGGATTGCTTTGGCTATTCTGGGTCTTCTGCTTCCATATATATTTCAGGGTTGTTTTTTTTGTTGTTGTTTTGTTTTGTTTTTTTCTAATTCAATGAAGAATTCCACTGGAGTTTTGATAGAGTTTATGCTGAATCTAGTTCGTTTAACTGCCAAGTGGGCTTATTTTCTAGTACACTGGTCATTTGCTTTTTGTAGTACATTTACCTAAATGGTTTTTCTTTAGTCAATGTACTATATTAATACCAAAGTTTTTGAAAATTTAAAATGGTAGACAAAAAGAAAAAGAAACCCATTAAAACCTAGAAATGTCAATACCCAGATCATGATAACATTTGGTGTCATTTGCAGACCGTTATCCTGGGCTCAAACATTCTCAAAGTGACAAGGGTCAGAGCAGGTTCAGATACCCTCTTGGGTCTCCAACTCAGAGCCACACCATCTGGGGTCCACCCATGATGATGAGGGTCAGGAAGAAGGCTTTGTGAACACCTCCTTCCCTATCCTCTCCAGTCATTCTCCATGGATTGAACTGGAGTCATGAAGGCTCCCAGCTCACCCAAGGCCTCTCAAAGTGGGTACATGTCATTGTGTGCCTGGTGGCCAAGAACTGCAGGGACAGTAAGGAAGGGCCTGAACAGGACAGATGTCAACCTTCTGCTCTAGAGCTAAACACTGGCCTTCAGAAGCATCACAGAGGCCCAGGGGCTATACAGGTCTGTCCTACCTGAGAGGACCCTCCTGCCCAAGCCAGGCAGCCCTTAGAGGAGTGGGTGAGATCTCAGGGAGAAGCCACAGTATGATGACAAGCCCTAGTCTGCTCATGGCCTCTTATCACACTTGACACTCTGGGGGAAGTGGTGACATTTGAGGCTGACTGTCAGCTGCAAAGCAGCAAGCCCAAAGCCATCTCTGCCTCCTGGAGATAGTTGCTGTGAGAATTCCTCTGGGTGCCACTGTGAGCTGCCAACTCTGGCCCAAGTGGAACCCAAACTCACCTTCCCAATGACACATCCCAAGCTGCTTCTTGGTGAGCAGATGGAGGGTCAAGTTCCCCAGAAAGGGTCTTTCCTCTTACCTCTGCTGTGTGAGTGGTTATGAGTCCATGACTCCAGCACACTGTGGCCCTTATTTATAAATAGAGGACAGTTCTACCTCATCAAGATTTAAAAGGAAAGGGGCCAGGAGATGGTTGCAAAAGGACAGGGCCACTGGCTTGTAAGTAGGGTTCACCTTTCCAACTCACCAGCCTGACTCTACTCACCCCAGAGGAGCCAGCCTGGCTGCAGCAGCTTTCTCTTCTAAATGCCTTTAGAGTGGGTTGAACCTTTTCTGCATCCCTGGGGTCCTACTGACACTCCAGCCTCTGATCCACTTCTGGTCCACTGGGCCCTTAAGGGGCCTCAATTTGAACACCAGTTCTGCTCTTACCAACATAAGATGCAAACCATGTAAATCTTACGTTGTAGCTGTAGATAGATTTCTGGGCCTCACTTTTTCCACCTGCAATGGGCTATTGTGAAAAGGAGGCAGGCCTGAGGGATGTGCTAGTCCCAGGGGCTGTCACTGGAAATGGTAAGTGCCACCCTTCAGTGTAGACAGTCACCCACTGAGCCAGGATACTCACTCTTCTACAGTGAGGCATACCAGGCGTCGGCGGAGGCCTGCAGCTCGCTGCTTCTCCAGAGCCTCACGGCCTAGGAAGGGCACTGAGGACTTGAGCTTACAGGTGAAGGCCAATCCTGCCTCCAGGGGGCTGTCATCAGACCTCAGGTCTGCATGCCAGTGTCGGTAGCCTGTGAGGCAAGGAAGCTGCAGGTGAGTGTCCGGCTAAGCTGCCCAATTCTTTCAAAGACACATGTGGGTGCTGCCCAAACCCAAACCACTCAGTCCCCAAATCTTCACCATTGCTTAGCAACCTGGACAGCCCGGGGATAGGGGGTGGATCCTGGTGTCCAGAGGCTCCCTGTATGAGCTCCTGGAGTCCCATGAGCTGTCCAGTCCCTTGTACCATCAGGGTGGGGTGTTGGGTGAACATGGAAAGTGGAGTGAGCAGCCTTAGGGGAAATACAGATCCCACCGTAAACTTCCATCACCTTTTAAAAGGTGCAAGGTGGCCACTTATTAGCAGCCCACTCTGCTCTGAGTCTCCCTCTCAGGAGACATATCGGTGGGGGTATTAGAACCCCCACTTAGGTATATGTGAGGTACTGGATTTAACCTCCAGCATCATTTTGTTTAAAAGCTCAAAAAAAAACTCTCAAGTTGCTCACAATGCTGAATTCAACCATGCCCCACTGAAGCCCACTCCTTCAGGATTTAGACAGTGCCTCACCTCTCTGAGTCCAAGTATGTGCAGTTATTGGGGACCCCAGCATCATTTCTGAAGCCCTGCATGGAAGACTCCATGCACAGGCATTGAAGAGGATTCGAGAAATGTAGAAGGATGGGAGTTGGAGAGATCGATGATGTATAAATCTGGACACAAGTGACAGGAGCACCCCCAGCTGCTTCCTGGTGGCTTGGGTGGCTTCCCTTGGCCCTATAGACACCGTGCTCACCTTTCTCGATGCTCAAGGAGTCAATGGCACGGTATCCCGCATTGACAAGGCCATGCTTGGCACCTGCAGCCATCACAGCCCGGTACACTGGCACACAGGATGCACGGGGCACATGCAGCTCCCAGCCCAACTCCCCAACAAAGGATAGCCGGATGGCCCGCACCTGGGGAGGCAAGGGTGTGGATCAGATACAGCTGCCACAGATTGCTGGTGCCCAGGCCCAGACCTCCACTTGACAGCAGTCCTGAGCAAGGGGGTTTTCTGAGGAGAGTCATGCAAGCTGATCTGGGAATCTTGAAGTGAAGGAAGAGGACTCAACAGTCTCCACCTCCTGGCCTCAAACCTCAGAAGTGACCACCTGGTTCCCTGTGGTCAAGCAAGTGAACAGAAACTGACTGGCTTAAACCAAGGGAAATGAACTCCATGTCTATTCTGGGGGTTCGAGGCTTAACTCAAGGTATGGCAGAGCCATGCCTGGAGGCTCAGGAAACCCCTCCCTGGTTTCTTCCAATGCAAGGGCTCACGTGATGCTCCACATGGACCTGTGTCACTCAGCATCTGTGCTCTCTTCCCATCAACAATCTCAGTGCTGTTTCCAGCTCTTACCAGGACTCTGCCATTGGGCTTTGGACCTAGGTTAACTCTGAAGAACCATATCTTAACACCTGGAGCAGTTGATACTATCAACATGATAGAATCAAGAATCACCTTGGAGACAATGCTCCAGGCATGTTTGAGGGAGTTTCTAGATTGAGTTAATTGAAGTAGAAGACTCACTCTGAATGCAGATGATACTATTTCATGGCTCCCGGAACAAATAAAAAGGAGAAAGCAAGCTGGGTACCCACATCCATCTCTCTCTCTGTGTCCCTGCCTACGGATACAATGTGACAGCTGACTGGAGTTCCTGCCATTATACTTTCCCTACCGATCTGACCTTCAAACTGTGAGCTCCAATAAACCTTTCTCTTGTTTTGTTTTTCAAGATGGGTTTTTCTGTGTAGCCCCAGCTGTCCTGGAACTCAGTCTGTAGACCAGGCTGTCCTTGAACTCAGAGATCTACCTGCCTCTACGTCTAGAGTGCTGGGATTAAAGGTGTGTGCCACCACTGCCTGGCATCCCTTCTTTCTTCAAAATGCTTTTGTCAGATGTTTTGTTACAGCAGCAAGAAGGTAACTATACACACATCTTCATTCAGTCTCATCTGCCAGGATTCTGAAATAAGGCCACAGCTACAGGTTCTGCCATCCTGAACCCAGGCTCTCATTTCAAAAGCCTCAAAGCTCTTCATTCATGGGAAGCAGGTGGGAAGTCATAGGCATAGTTCATGCCTTGCCTGCACCAAATCAGGGTGGCTACACACCAAATCCACCATTCTAGAAGCCACAGGAATGGACACTGTGGGTTCCAGAAACTAGGGCTCACAGACACAAGAAGGATACCACCATTTATCTGCTGTCCCTTCACACACATCCCACTTAATCACAGCCATGCAAGAAGGAAATGGGGGCCCATGTGGGAAGAGCTGGGGTCTGGGAAGGTATGTCCACACCCACAGAGCCAATATGAAGGTTATCTTTTCCAGAAGATGCAATCTTTCCATACATTTGGCTTAGGTACATGTACCATATCCAACACACCCAACAGCGATGCCCACTTCCCCAGCCTTCAGGCAAGCTGGGGGATGTGACTGAATGCCTCCAAGAGGGCGCTCCAGCCCAGGATCACTGCTCAGCTTGACAAGATATATGGGGAGGGGGGAGGGCTTTAAGAAAGCCTTACAGATAGAGGTGTCCGGGTCAGTGCTGCCACCCCTGTGTTGGCTGGTGGTAGGAACTACCCTGCGTCTGACCACAAAGCCAGCACCTCATGAACTTGACAGTCTAATCACACAGCCACTGAGAAACTGGATTCTAAAGGCCTTTGAAGCAGCACCATTTGCCTGGCCTTGTAAAAAAAACTCAAGCTGATGCAGAAACTGTGCTGTTGACATTTCCCTGCTTCCCTGTGCGAGCTGTGGGCCCCTGACAAAGACTGCCTTGTCACCAGGGTGCTAATTTTAGACAGCCCTGAAGGAGCTTGGGGCTCAAAGCCAGCCTCATTTTGAAGCAGGGAAAGTCACTTTTAAAGTGCACCCAACCCTGCATCCTATTCAGACACTCCTCATCCAGCCAAGCACACAGGTGGAATGATGTCCATGGGTGCTTGACATCTCCTGACCTCAGTACAACGCAGAGTGGCCACTTCTGGGTCTCCACTGCAGGCCAATGTGACCCATGGCAAGTGTCAAGAAGAAACTCCTAAGAGAAGATGGTAGGTTCCTCTCCCTGATGACAAGGTGAGAATTTGGAGGAGTCCATGTATCTTCCTAGGTACCTGGGTGTCTTACTTTTTTTTCCCCTTGAAGCAATAAAGTTAAGGGCAGGTCTCATTTCTTCCCAGCTTTGGCACACAAGGATGGAACAAGACTGAGAACAAAGATGTAGAAGCTCATTTTCCCTACCCCTATGACCCAGACACCTCAGGTCCAGACTTTGTGCCCCATTCAACAAACGTACTTCAGGCAGGGTTTGTGAGCTCCATGCATGGCATATGCTCAGCTGCCATCCATCAAATGTTGGCTTAGGCACTTGCACAGCCCTGTTCACTGCTGCTTGAGTCACACTTGCAAGGGGATGGGCAGCAGGCTAGATGTCCATCATCATTTGAATGGACAGAGCATACACACAATGGAATATTCTTTATCCATAAAGAAAAACGAAATTATGACTTGTGTAGAAAAAATGGACAGAACTGGAAAATACTGTGTTAAATGAGGAAACCAGGTTCAGGAAAACAACAATGACAATGACGACAGACAGGCTCAGATGGCTTTAAAAAGATTAAGAGGGGATGAGGATACAGCCCAGTGATAAGGCATATGCCTAGGATGGGGAAGGTCCTGGATCTGACTCCCAGAACCACAAAAAGTATGAATTAAAGAAGGCGCAAGAGGAGGGAGAGCTCCTTGGAAGATGTGCTGGCAACGGATGGAGCTAGAACTGTACAAGGTTGGCAGGAAGGACCTTGAACCAGGTTTTGTTAAAACCCTTTTTTGCTCTAAAGATTCTACAATAAACAACTCCAGCAGTTTCAAGACACAAGCCAACACACAAAATCATCTCCTACCAATGAAAAACCCAGGAATGGAAATTAAACCAGTAGTGTGCCATCCCAGCAATTGGGAGGTGGAAGCAGGAGGATTGAGGAGTTTTAAAGTCATCCCCAGTTAGTAGGAAGTCTAAGACAAGCCTGAGCTGCATGAGGGTGTCTCAAAAGTTCACAAACAAACAAAAATTAAAACAATTTCAGTCATGCCAGCATTCAAATAATACCAACCAAGAGGTGAAAGGATATTAAGATGACAAATAAATTCAAAGACACTCCATGTTTAGTAACTGGGAGATTAAGATGCCCAAACTACTGAAAGTAGCCACAACAGAGGCCACACAGCCCTCGCAGAGCCCCACTGGTATGCATTAAGTTGCAGAGCTAGAAGAACAACCTCTTAAAACGCATATGGACTCTCAAATGACCCTAAGAAACAAACCAGATTTGAAAACTGACAAAATTAGGGGATTCACTCTTTGTCATTTCAAAACAGTCAGCCACAAGGCCATAGCAATCAAAACAGTGTGCACTGTCATGACAGAGAACCAGATCAATGAAACTCGGCGGAGCTCCTGAGAGTAAGCCTCCATGTAGGTGACCGGGTGAACTTTACCCAGGCAGTGGTGGGCACGCCTTTAATCCCAGCACTCAGGAGGTAGAGGCAGGTGGAGTTCTGTGAGTTTGAAGCCAGACTGGTCTACAGAGTGAGCTCCAGGACAGGCACAGTTACACAGAAAAACCTTGTCTCAAAAAAAAAAAAAATTTAAGCCCAGCAGTGGTGGTTCATGCCTTTAATCCTAGCACTCAGGAGGCAGAAGCAGACAGATCAAGTTCGAGTTTAGCCTGGTCTACAGAACCAATTTCCATGACAGCCAGAGCTACACAAAGAAACCCTGTTTCAAAAAACAAAACAAAACAAAAATTTTTTAAGCAAAGCAGACAGAGACAATGACTCAGTGAGAAAGGTGCTTCCTGCCAAGCCTGAGGACCTGAGTTCTACCCCTAGGACCAACATGGTAGAAGGATAGAACTGACTCTACAAGTTTTCCTCTGACCTCACAGGTATACCATGACACATGTGTCCTCATATACAAATAAATAAATGTGATTTAGATTTTACAAAAAGCAAAACAAAAATAAATAGATGCTGGTGAGAACACAGAGAAACCAGATTTGTGCTTGCTGGCAAGGTCATAAATGGTGCCGTTGCTGCAGAAAAAGTGTGACAAGCTTTGGAAATTTTAAAGTAGACATAGGTGATATGGCCCAGCTTGTGGGTAGACACCCCATACCCCCAGCTTGGGAGGCGGAGCTCAAAGAGCCCAAGAGTTCATTCACACAACAGGACAGCAGTCGCCTGTTTGCCAGGAAGGATGTCCTGACACCTGCTGGGATGAGGACAAACCCCAAGGCTGTGCTGAGTGACACAAGCCAGTCACATAGGGGTCTATGCTGCAGGCTTCCTCAGGATGTCACTTTCCAGAACCAGGCTTGAGAAATGCTTTGTCTGATGGGTTTGAGATTTAGCTAAACAAAATAAGATGTTCTGGAGCTATATCTCACAACAGGGCGCATATGCTCATACGCCCGGACAGAGGCTTACAGTGGTGGAAGCCAGGCAGAAATCCAGTACTAAAGAGGTTGAGGCAATACTGTGATGCAAGGACAGCCTTGTCCTTTATCCTATAGATATCTTATGTCCTGTAGATGGATCCTATGTCCCTCCCAAAAACTTAAGATGGTAAAAAAACAACAGATCCCTTCTAGGGAGATAAAACTGAGGCCTGACAGCCCAGGTGAGGTGCATTTTATGTCTCAATTGCTAGAGACAGAGATGGCAGATGAAGGCAGGAGAGCAAACCCAGGCAATGGAACTGGGCGGAAGCTTCATGCTATGTCCAGTGGTGGACTACAAAGCAGATCCTGGAGCGAAGAGGGAAAAGCAGAGCAGCTCTGGGGCATGTCTTGGGAGGAAATGAAAGCTGTATATTGAAGACATGCCTATACTGCCAT